TATTATTGCCGAAGAACTGTTAATTGCCTTGTCATTGTAAGTTTGAAGTATATATTGTTTTTACTTTTCTAGTTACCTGTGCTTGGAAGGAGCCTGTGCCTGGATGGATCAACTCCAAAAATGGACCTTCTGGTTTCTTCATGGGTGCAGCTAAGGGAGTTGTTCGTCGACTTCCTGTTGGAAAAGAGCTAGTTTATGACTACATTCCTGTTGATGTTGTGGTCAATGAAATGCTGGTGTCAGCTTGGCACACAGCTACAAATAAGTATGTACTATCCATTTGTGTCCTTAGTTGGTTTTTCTTCTTATGCACCTGTCTGTACTCAATCTGTACAGTAATTAATTTTTTCCCTACCTTTTCAGGCCCAAAGAAATGCCAGTTTACCACATCACATCTAGCACTTGCAATCCATTCCGTTGGGCAACTATTGAAAATCGCATTCCTCACCAGCTTGATTCACTCCCCCTAAAGGCAGCAGTGTGGTACCCAACGTTGAAGTTACTTCCATCTCTCACTCTTTTCCGAATCTCAGCCATCTTTGTCCATTTTCTCCCTGCATACTTCTTTGATGCCCTCACAGTGGTTGCTGGTGGTAGACCCATGTAAGTCAAGTGCTTTTATTTTGTCTTATTTACAAAGATATTATTTCTGTCCCTTTATTCATACTTACATATTTGTAAAATTTTGTTTCTATAGCCTTGTTCGACTTCACACAAATGTAAGCAAGTCTCTGGCGCGCCTTGCTCCATTTATTTTTCAAGAATGGTTCTTTGACAACAAACGGACTTTAGAACTACACGAATCTCTGAGCCCTGCGGACAAAGAGGCTTTCGGACTTGACATTCGCTCTATCCAATGGAATGATTATTTTGAGCACATGCATGCTGGTGTACGCAGATATTTGAACAATGAAGAACCAAAAACTCTTCCTGCTGCCAGGAAGAAGCACAGGACGTAAGTATATTCCTCAAACCTAATTGTATTAATATTATTATTTGATACCACCTTCGTGAGCTTGACCTAAAATTACGTTTCTTTTTCCTTAGCTTGTACATCTTGAACATCCTTGTTCAAATTGGATTCCTGTCAACCATCTGGTTTGGTATTTCAAGACTGCTGGGAATGACCATGACTTCTACAATCTGGCTATATCCTATTTTGTACTTCCTTTTCAATCTTCTGTAAACCACTGTGTTAACATTTTGAGTCTGTTTGAAGTGAAGCTCTTTTCTTCTCTCTTTTTTTTTTTTGCAATGGCATTGGTGTAATAATGTTTTAGAATCTAGGTGGCTATGATTTTTGGATGATATGAAACATAATGTCTTCATGATAAACTGTATTTTTTATTACTTTTTGTTTTGTTGCTTTTACTTATTTTTTTAATGTTTTTTTTTTTTAACTTTCCAGTTTTAATAGTCAGTACTAAAATAGTCTATGCTGTGCATCTTTTTTCCTTTTGTACTTTCGATGTGGAGTGGAGTTACTGTAAGTGAATTACTTAGTCCCAGTGATTGAGAGATTGTAGACTGGATGATTGGTGATTGTTTTCAATTGTAAAACTAATTGTGAATCACGGTGCATTTTCAATAGGTATGTCAATGAATGTTGAAACAGTATTTATTGTATGGTTGATCTAATTGCATTTAATTCTCATGAAATGCATCGTTTCTGATTAACTTCATCATTCCCTCAAGAATGATCAGCGCAATCTAATTTATAAGCTTCCATTTTTGTGAGCACCTGTTTGTTGAATATTTGTCGCTTTTACATTTTACTATTCTCACATTGCATTTACTTGGTAAATACAGTATTTTTCCAACAACCACAGTTTCTGTCACTTTACTAACCACCTTCCTAGGTAGCCAAATAACGGAAGGCTTACTTGTTGCTGCCATAACCTGATGGCCCACTTTGAGCCAAACGACTGTCAAAATGATTCCGATGAGACGAAGTGGTCATCATGTCACCTCTGTCCCTTCCAGTAACATCGCCACCACCGGAGGGTAGGAAACGGGCCGTGTAGGGGAGGACGCCTGGAGGGTAGAGGGTAGGCAAACGGGACGTGCGGGGCGTCTGGAGGTACTGGAGGGTAGTGAATGGGACATGGGGGGCGCCTGAAAGGTAGTCAACGGGCCGTGCTGGTGCGGGGCGCCTGGAGGGTGGGCAACACACCACGCGCCCGCGTGTCGCCGGCGGCGGCCGGGAAGTCCCAATTATCGATGCGAGTCCCGTATGAAGCAAATCGTGCCGACGGCGCTCACGTACACGACACAAAGGCCCTTTTTGTGGGACGATTTGCGGTCGCCGCGGCTGGGAACCGCGCCGTGCTCGGTGCATAAACCATGAGGCGGGGGGTGGGGGTGTTCTACTGGGGTGTTGTGCAGCGGCCAGGGGCGTTCCGCTGCTGGCCGGAGCCGCTGCACGGAGCCCTCTCCGCCCTGGAGGCATGCTGTCGCCGTGCGAGGTGGGTACGGGCCGGGTGTGAGGGTGTTTTGGACCCCACGTTGGCGTCGACGCCGTTCTGTTGCAGAGAGCCGCCCTCCACTGCACGCTGACGGCCGCGCTCTGCCTCCTGGCCTGCGACTCCCTCGACGTGCACCTGGGCAGGGCCGTCTCCAGGAGCGTCTTCCAGCACAAGGGGCTCAGGCACGTGGTCGCCGTTCTCTGCGATCATGCCGGTAAGTGAACTATACTATGTACTTGGCGTCCGCGGCGGTGGCGTGTGGACGTCGGGTGACTGTGGGGTGGGTACGTCGTGTATTGCTCAACGGTCTAGACGCGCTGCTCTGGGAGCGGGAGGTCGCCGGGACGGGCTCGACGTACATCGCGACCCCGAGGCCGAGCGGGGCGGAGGTGCGGCGGGTGCTCGGCGAGGCCACCACGTCCGTGGGCGTCTTTCTACACACGGGCTGCGCTGAGACGCTGCGCGTCCTGCGGCAGGTACTACACCGTCGAGTACCCGGGTGGTGGCGCGCCGTGGAGGCAGGCAACACGTTGCACACCCGTGTCTGCCGTCTTGCAGAGTTCTGCGGCGGATCTGCTCGGCGGCGGCCGCCACTGGGTGCTGGCGGGGAACGCCTCCTCGACGAAGGCCGAGATGCGGGATCTCGCCGAGAGCCTCGACCTGCGCCCGGACAGTGAGGTACGACGCCGTGCCTGTCGCGACGACGGCGGGGTGCAGCTAGGGGCTCGCGATCTCCCACGTTCTGCTCTCTGCCGCGCCGCGAGGTGACGCTGGCGTCGCTGGCCTCGGACGGACGCACCGTGCACCTGGTGGACGCGTTCCGGCCGACGGTGAGGTCTCGGGGGCCCGTGCACATGCAGCTGACGGGGACCTGGACCGAAGCCGCGGGGTACGCCGCGTTCCTGCCGGGCACGACGTCCTCCAGGAGGCGTAACCTCTACGGCACGGTGCTGCGGGCGGGAGTTCTGGTACGGCGTTATTTCGAGGGAAGTTGCCGACGACGGCGGCGGCGGCGGCGGCCCTCCCCTGACCTGGCTGCTCGCGCAGGTGAGCGGCTACCGGGAGGCCGACCTGCCGCACGTGCTGGGCAAGCCCAAGGACAACGCGCCTCTGGTGTCTGACGTGGCCGCCTTCAGCCACACCCTCGTCTCCCACCTCCAGGACATGCTCAACGTCTCGTAAGCGCATCGCTCTCACTCAACGATATATCCTGTTATCGGCGACGGTGTTGCCTTCTCGACCTCGCGTTGACGTCGTCGTGTCCCTGTGTCCCAGGCTGCGCCTCCAGGGCGGCCACTACTTTACGCTGCTGCGGCGCATCGGCCGGGGCGACCTGGACCTGCTCGCCACCGCCACCGAGATGCAGGCCAAGTACTGGGACGTGATGGACTACGCTTGCATGCCGCTGTGGACCGAGCGCCGCGTCATGGTGCTCAAGAACCCCTCGGCGCTCTGGTCGTACAACGCCTGGCTGCGCCCGCTCGACGCCAAGGTGTGGTACATCCTAGTGACGCTGGTGCTCTGCACGGCAGTGGTGCTGCGCGCCGTCGGCTACTGGGAGGTGCACTTCGACCAGGGTCACGTCGCCGAGGAAGACTCGTGGGCGTCGGCCGTCACCACGGCGCTCAGCATGGTGTGCGCCCAGGTCCGAGACAGGTCGGAGACTCCGGCACGATGTGAGACCTGCAGACTGTAGACTTCACTGACCCCGTAGCTTCTCACTCTCAGGGGTTCACGACAACGACCAGCTGGACCAGCAGCCGCACTCTGCTGCTCGTGTTCGAGTTCTTCAGCCTGTTTGTCAACCTGTTCTACTCCAGCGGCATCGTCACGTTCCTGCTCACCTTCCCGCCGCCGTTCGCTCACGACGTCCGGGACATGATCGACAGCCCGTTCGTGATCGGCGCCGACCAGGACGTCTTCAGCCGCGCCAACTTCACGGTCTGTGTCGACGAGGTGGCGTGCCGGTTGGGTGACTGCTTGAGGGACGGCGTATGACGCGGAGGTGTTGGAATCCACAGAAGTCCTCGGACGCGCTGATGCGCGAGCTATACGACAGGAAGATCAACGAGACGGTCGGCGGGGGTGGCTTCGTGGACCTGCGGGAGGCAAGCGCGCGGGCGCGCCACGGCAGGTTCGCCGTCGTCGGCTCTCCCTTCCCGATGTACGAGATGCTCGCCACGACCTGGTCGCAGTCCGACATCTGCCGCTTCCAGGAGCTGCCCCTGCTGCCGCCGGCGCTGCTCGGGCTGGCCACCCCTAAGAGGTCGCCTTACCGGGAGCTCATCAACCAGGCGTAAGTGTTGCCCGAAGGCCGTGCCCGCCCGCGGTCGTACCTCAGGCCGAGGGGTACTTCACTTTACTTTCAAGCGTGTACCAAAGTTTCCATGACGTTTTTCTGGATTTTCTCTGAATTGTTCTGATTTGTTTTTTTGACTGTATACGGCATACTCTAATATGTTTGAGTGAAGCACCCCTCGTGGCACGCCGTGAAACACGGAACCAAGCTCGAGGTCATGGTCAAGGTCGTGTTGAGGGACATATGCCTTGTGCAGGCTGCTGCTGCTGGTGGAGCGGGGGCAGCTCGCACGGGAGCGCCTGCGCTGGTCGGTGCTGCGCCCGAGGTGCGCGCTGAGCGACGTCACCGAGCTCGACTACGTCGGCCTCCGCCAGGTCACCCCGCTGCTCAGCTTCGTGGTGGGCGGCGTCGTGCTCAGCCTGCTCATCCTGACCCTGGAGCTGCTGACCGCCAACTCCAAGTACAAGGACAGGTGAGCCGGTCCCGACCTGGACCTGGGCCGCGAGTGGGTTCTGGAACCGGTGACCCCCCCTAGCGCGCGTCACGGACTTGTGAGATTTGTAATCCTGTTGCCGACTGGCTGCTGGCCTGGCCTGGCGTGGACTGTTTTACTGTCGCTATCTTGGATGAGACAGTTATTAATTACACGTGTTTATCCCTCTCCTGTCACAGAGACAATCCTGTCATCGACCTGTTGAAGGAAGTGACACAGATCAACACCGAGTCCAGGAAAAAGCAGGCGTAGATAGTGGTGTATCTACGAGAAGGGTGAGTTCGTTTTGGGGGAGGGAAAAAAATAATGAACATCAGAGGGTTTCGCATCGGCGCATGTTTTTATATTCCTTATACTTTCGCGTGCGCTTTTCGGCACGAAAGAAGCTTCGCGACCATACAGCTTGTCAAAGTTTATTATAAATAGTTGAAAGTCGTTTTCTACAAACTAATGTCATAAATATGCCTATAAATCAATTTGATAATGAAGATGAGATTATAATTAAAAACCAGTCTACGTAGAATGGCAGAATGGCATCGCTCACGTATAAAAATATAATATGTCATAATGTAAAACTTAACGAACACCATTTTGGAATACTACGCTATCACATTGAGGCGTTATGGCACTACGAACGAACACATTGAGACTCCTTACGTACGAATGAATCACTCATATTATTATTAGTAGTAGTTATTAATTACAATTAAATAAACTAACCCTACTCCGTGGGCCCGAGAAATTTTTGTCTGATCTATTTACTCTTTTTGCGTACCCTCACCGAGCCTGGACACTTACTGCGCTAAAAAAAGTATAAACTATATCACACGTGTTATGGCACTGTGAACTCGATGTCGGGTTATCTCCGTGGACTAACAGTCTCAGGGAAGATTCATTTTTTAAAAATTCCTTCTGGTAGAGACTGTTCTGGTGGGTACTGTCTCAAAAACATTGGCACAAGTCAACGTTGCTTGAGGCCGCGCACCGCACCCTCGCGGCGGTGGCCTACTTGGTCTTGATCTTGATCTGGAGGACGCGGAGCGCCTGCAGCGTCCAGAAGAGGCCGGACAGGCCGAAGGCGATCTGCAGCCCGGGCACGAGGAGGGCGCAGGGCGCGCCGGCGAGCAGGCCGCACACCCGGGGCGCGGCGGCCACGAACACGGCGCAGCGCGCCAGCTCCAGCAGGCACACGCCCGGCCGCCCGTCGAACATCATGCCGATGGTCGTGAGCGACGCGATGATGTAGGCGACGAAGCCGAGCACCACCAGCGGGCTCATGCTCTGCGGGCAGGAGGAGAGGGCGTGTGAGTGGCGCACAACAGGTAGATACGGACACTTTTCAAAATGTTTATGTTGATAAAATAAAATAGCCACTTTTTCTTACTACATTAAAATTACTAAAAATTTCTAAAAAAAAAAAGTAAAATTTACTGAAGAAATTGCTGAAAAATTTCGAAATCTAATCTTTGTAATTTATTCTCAATTTTTCACTGAAGATCTTTAGTCCTTCCGCCCTTTAAAACCGCCGATTCGCCAGGCGCCTGCTGTAGTGGAGCTAGGCTGCACCGCATGCACGCGTGCGTGCGGGTTGCCAGCTCGCTCGGGCTGTAAGGCGCCGCCGCATGGTCGGCTCGGGGGACGATGTAGGCGAACCAAAAGGCGAACCTGTTCGCACGAGCTGCCGCGAGACCTTCCGTGAGAGTGAGCCGCACCCGTTACACAGGCAACAACGCCAGCGCAGCAGGTAAGAGAGGCAGAGGACCTATTTATCGCCAATGCCGATGGGAAGGGAATGTAGGGCGCGCCCGCTGTCCCGACCTTCCCTCCTATGGCCGGCTATCGGCCGTAGTTGCCCTCATCCGGTCACTACTATTGTAAAACTAACAATTTTCAGCAATGTTTCAAATTCAATTGGAAATTGGACTTTGTACAATTAACGATAGTGTTTTCAAAAACCACATTAATCTAAAAAATACATTAAAAAAATAGGAATTGATCGTGTATGATCCCCGGTTTGCACGAAACATCTGCAGATGCACTCACCATGTACCGCAGGGCGAGCTCCTGGAAGCCCAGGACGACGAGCAGGAAGTGGGCCGAGAGGTAGACGTTGACCCAGACGGGCAGGCGCACGTCGTACTTGTCGCGCGGCTTCACCTGCGGGTGGGAAACAGCTGGGAGTCAGTTGGGTTGCCTACGCGGTCGGGGAGCAGAGTAGCGGCGGTAACGCGATCGCCTGGGCTTTGCGAGTACTCGGGCCGGGGGGGAACACGAGAAGCGAGACCGCGAGGGCCAAAGCCGGAGGGCTCCGGCCATGCTCCGGCTCCGCTCCGGGTGCCATGGGCAGGGCAGGCGCGCCGGCAGCGGCAGCGTGGTGTATCCAGTGTCTGCGCTCGGAGGATCAGCGCGGCCAGCGCGGCCAATGTATCGCCTGGCCAAACCGATACCGAAGCGACCGGCGCAAAAACCGAACACCGCGCGGACGGAATAAACTCGGTCTCGGCGGCCATAACGAGTTGGGCGGCCGTCTGTGACTTTTTGTCTCGATTCGTATATTCCTATTTCGCGGTTTTTCGCGGGGCCCGGGAGAGACACGACCGACCAGTGGGCGGGCGGGGCGACCCCCCCCCCCCCCGTCCCCCTTGTATAAAACATATATCCGTTAGTGGCGTGGCAGCAGAGCGCAAGGCTAGGCCGTTCATCAGGGAGTGCTTTAATCGGTTCAGCGATTCAGAGGCACACGTCGACAGGCGACGCAGCAGCAGCTGAGGTGATTACGTAAACAAAAAGGCGACGCGCGACGCGGGCCTCTCTGCCGTGAGCAGTGTTGCCAACCGCGCAACGACAGTGAGGAAGGTAAGGGGGCGGGACGTCCCGATCCAACGGAAAACGTCGTTCGGGCGTCAGTTGTCTGATGGCGGGCTGGACGACTGACATCGGAATGATGTTAGTTGATGGCAGAGTGATTGATGCCGTACCATTGGGGGCCGCTCAGAAACCACGCGGAGAAAAGAAGGGAGGGGTACAAACAATATGGGGTACCAAAATGGTCAGGAACATCATTGGATCTCATAGAGACCCCGCGTGATATTTGTACCCCGTGGTAAAAATATCACGTGGCCTCCTTGGACTCTAATTACCGTCTTGGCCATTTTGGAACCCCACATTATTTGTACCCCCTCTTGTCCACGGGGTTTCTGAACGGCCCCATGGGGGTGTGGCAGTCGAGGTCAGTGTGCCTAACACCCTAACAAAAAAAGAATAATAGGGGCGTGTCCCCAGAGTACACGTGCGAGCTTTGCGACTTACGTCAATCTTGTCCTCCTCGGCGCCCGTCCAGGGTCGGCCCGGCAGCCAGCTGGGACCCTTGACGACAGCGGACACCTTGTTCTTCCAGCCGTTCATCGCGCGGACCTTGTTGATCACGTTCTTGTTGTAGAAGATCTGGAAGCGGAGGACACGGCTAGCGTTAGCGACAAGAACGCCGGACACTCTTAAGACCAGACGGCCGTCGCCGCGTTGCTTACCTGGAGGTAGAAGGGGTTGAAGGAGGGCTGGTTGAAGACGAGGCCGTAGACCGTCTCCTCCTTGGGTCGCTCCTCGGCGAAGGTCCCGAACAGGCGGTCCCAGATGATGAGGAAACCGCCGTAGTTCTTGTCCAGGCAGTACAGGTTGGAGCCTGGAGAGCGTCAAATTAGGCGTCGTTTAGTTACTACGATGCATACAATGGACGTTACAGAAACGTGCCAAAATAAGTAGTTTCGGCGCAGACAACTGACCGTGGTGCACGCGGTGGTGCTTGGGCGTGTTGAACACCCACTCCAGCGGGCCCAGCGTCTGGACCGTCTCGGTGTGGATCCAGAACTGATACAGCAGGTTGAACTGCTGGTGGGTGAGGAAGTGCGCCGGGGGCACGATCAGCGCCATGGGGAGGTAGAACACCTGGGGGAGCAGAGGGAGGGTGGTGGTGCGTGAGACTCGCGGGCAAGAGATAGAGCGAGAGAGATAGATGTTCGAGAAGCTGGTCTGTAAATCTGCGATCAACCACCACCGCTTTCTCAACCGCTGGCTACGCGGAGTGGAGAAAAACAACGAAATGCCGGCGCGATTAATTCAAATAGCCTCGGCCCTGTCGATGAGGGGAAAGTTTTTCATCAAGTCAACCCAAAAACGTGAGCAGGTGTTTTTTTTCTCCTCTTGCTCCCGCTATTCACCGACGTCGTTCTCGTGTTTCTAGAAACGCCGCCCGAACGCGCGGGAGTCGCATTTTGAGAAGGTTTTACTTACAAATCCGCACCATCCTTGCAGTAGAGACTGGCGCAGGCCGACGGCCAGGTTGTAGTCCTCGGAGCTGTGGTGCACCTGGTGTTGCGCCCACAGGATGTGCACCTCTGGAAGGACAAAGAGTGCAATTTTAAATTAGTAATTTAAAATTACGGACGCGGTTGCTCTCGAGAGGTGTTTTTGGTGCATGATTGTTGTGGTAATTTGCTGTGAACCAGAACGTGAGCCTAAGCTAGTGTCGGTCAGTGTTCGGATCACGTGTCGTCTCCTCTAGAGAGCTGGCGTATTCAGGTCACGTGTTTTTATCTCTCTAGTAGTGGCGGCGTAGTGGTACCTTGGGGTCAACCTCCAAAGAACACGTGAGTTAATCCGGTGAGTTATATCCGGTCAGCGAGTGGAAGTCACGTGTCGTCTTTCGAGTGGTTTTAGGTACCTTATGGAGAAATGAGAAACGTGTGAGTTAAACGTTGGTCGGCGTATTCAAGTCAAGTGTCGTCTCTCGAGTAGCTTGAGTACCGTCTTTCGAGTAGATTGAGTACCTTCTGGAGAACACGTATGGGTTTAAGTTAGTCAGCGCATTCAAGTCACGTGTCGTCTCTCGAGCAGTTTAAAGTACCTCCTGGAGAACAGTGAGTTAAAGTTAGTCGGCGCATTCAAGTCACGTCACGTGAGTTAAAGTTTAGTCAGCGGTCAGCGCATTAAGTCACGTGCCGTCTCACGAGTAGCTCAAGTATCTTCTGGAGGACACGTGAGTTAACACGTGTGCTTACACGTGAGTTTAAGTTGGTCGGTGTGTTCAGGTCACACGTGCCGGTCTCTCGACTGGCGTTGCAAGTCACTGAAGCGCAGAGTTGTTTGTCTTTGTGTTTGCATTACAGGTTACGGGATTGGCAAATGCGAACTACCACTGACCGTGGCTGGCGCGGTGGACCCAGTAGTAGCAGAAGTCCACGCCCACCAGGGCCAGGTACCAGGTAATGGCCGAGTCCCAGGGCAGCTCGGCCAGCCTGAAGTTCTCGTAGATGTAGATGTACATCCAATGCTCGGCGCCTCGGAACACCAGTCTGTGCGGGCGCAGAGAAAGAGAAGCCGTCAGGTAAGGACAAATGAAGTGGCAGACGGCCGCTCAAGCCGGCAAATCTTGGCCAAAGCCGCAGTTCGGAAACCTCTCGGAATGACCTATACCTGCCGCACTCCTGGAAGATGCCGTGCGAGATGGACGTGAGCGAGTCGTTGAGGCGCGAGAGCGGCTTGTGCTCCAGCCAGAGCACGAGGTTCTCCAGCACGATGAAGGCCAGGAAGTACGGCCAGGCCTGCGAAAGAGAAAAAGGTGTGGGTGAGTCGAAAACTAAATCAGTGACTTCTTTTCCATGTCACGTGTGACACGAAGCTGTCTACCAACACGTAAGCATTTCCTCCCCGTCCCCGAAAAAAGAACCCTCGTTGCATTGCCGTCATGCCGAGTCGAAGACAACTCGGAAAGCCTCTTCTGCCTTTTGTTTTCGCGGTACGAACCCCACGGCGGGCGGCGGGCCGCGAGCGAGCGGGGGCGTCGACCGCGGCCACACATGAGTCACTCGTTTAAAACGAGTAACGCCAGCGCACCCCAACCCCGCGCCGCAGGAGGAGACGCGCCCGGCGGGAAAATCGAATTCAATTTGGTTCGGTGCAGCAGCAGGCAGAGGAGAGGAGCAGCAGCGGTAGCAGCAAGGCTGTGTCGCACTGATTGGCGATCCATCCCTTTGCCCCCAATCCCCTCCTCTTTCTAGGCCAGGCGGCGACGACAACCAAAGCTGCTGTGCGCTGTGCGCCCGCACCGCCTGATGCAGAAGAGGAGGGGGGGGGGTCTAATTGAAGACTCTTCTGGCGGCGGCCTGTCACGTATGTGTGTCTCGTGCCGAGTAAACAAACGTTGTCACGTGGTACATAACGCGCTCGGTATGGTCACGATATATATGCTGCACGTGTTGTTGGCGTTATTCAGCGGGGTCGCTCTATCGCCGAAGCGCAAAATTTTGTCAGTCTTGTAGCATTTCCATTTTTTTTGGTAGAAGTAGCGAGGAGGAAAAGTTTTCCTCGTTCGCGAAGGGAAGGTGGAGGTGGCGATGGTCCTGATTGACAGCCGGCGACGCGCTATCCTGCCATGTCCGCGAGTGCACTCTCGCACGGAGATAACGCGCAGATACCTCCCCCCCCCCCCTCCACCATCTCTCTCGAATGACCGAATGTCGACCTGGGACGAAAGAAAACAGTCAACCTGTTTGCGGTTTCACCCTGGTGTTAGTTATTTAATGAGCGTGTACGGTGTACTTGTCCCGTACGGGCTGCAAGGGTACACCCCTTCCCCCCTTTCCCCCGCTCCCCCGCGCTGGCCGCGAGTGCAACGTCAGAGGTTTGTGAATAGTATGCGCGGCGACGGGACGCCGTGCGGCGCTGGCACTCTGCCCGGGCCGGCTCCCCGAATACACGAATACGAATACCAATCTAGTGTAAGTCTATCGTCGTCAGCGTCGCAGTCGGACGATATTTACGATCCGCCGAGGCCGTTAACGGTCCCGGCTGGGCAAACAACGACGCCCGGGTGGCCCGTTCAGTTAAGCGGCGGATCCGTCCTCCGGCCTCCCTGCGAAACACTCACCTGTCTGAAGAAGAAGGGCACCTCCTCGGGTGTCTTGTACGTGGTGAGCTCGGGCTCCACCATGTAGAACATGCGGCCGAGGCCCTCGAGTGGCTGGGCGAGGAGGCCGCCGACGGGATGCCGGGGCAGGGGCAGGACGGTGGCGTTCGCCATGGTGGCGACGGCGGCGGAGGTGGAGGTAATGTCGTTGCTGGTGCACTACTCGGCGAAGGCGCTGGGGGAGCCGACGGCACCTACTGGAGGCGACCGCCGGGGCACATAGTCACAAACACTAGGGAGAACGACGCACTGCGGCGCCGACGAGAGGTGGCCGTCGACGGGGAGGTGCCGGTGGCGCTATCCGTCGGCTGGTGCGGTATACACGTCGACACGGAGGTGCGCCCGGGCTAGGACTGATCTGCCAGGGTGGCTCTCGCCTGGCTGCGTGGCACCCGCCTTTGGGACGCGCCCAGGACGCCCGGTGCAGGAGGGGAGGCGTTGCTCCTCGCTGGTTGGTCGCTGCTACTGTGCGCTGCTGCTGCTACCGCTGCTACTGCCGCTGCTACTGCTGCTGCTGCCGCTGCCGCTGCTGTCTTTGGGTTGCGTAACGCGCGCCGACCAACTTCTCATACTCATAGGGCCGAGCCGAACACGAAGAGGATGAGCCAGGCGTAGAAGGCGAGCCGGCGGCAGCGGAGGTCCAGGTGACCGAGCGCGGCGGCGTCGCGCAGCATCGGGGAGCGTCGGGGGAGGGTGCGAGCGAGCGAGAGCGCGAGCGAGACACGGGGAGCGAGCGAGAGGGGGAGCGAGCGAGCGAGATGATGACCGCGTGGTTTGTTATCGAGGTGTGAGCGCCTGCGCCGGCGCCGCGGCTACTTATAGGCGCGTCTCGGCGCGGCGGCTCGCGGCGCCAACAACAAGCTCGGCGCCGCGCTGCTGCGGACCCTGCCGACCCTCCGCGCTGGCCCGCCCAGGACCGCGACGACAACGACCGTCCCCCGGGGCCCTCCGCGGCCGACTGCTGTGCGCCCTGCCCCCGCGTCCCTCTGCTTCCGCCTCGCAGGAAGCAGACAGGCAGGGCACGGGGAAGACCCACCGGCGCACCGTGTGGGGGGCGAGCACCCTTGGGGGGGCGGCGGCCGGCCCCTCGGCGCCGGTGCCGACGGCCACCCCCTCCTGATGCCGCCCCTCCCCCTCCTGGTGCCGCCGCGGCAGGCAGGGCAGGGCCGGGCCGGGCCGGGCGCGGCTGGCAGCGCGCCTGCAGGGTCCCCGGGCGGGCCGCGCGCTCGCCGCCCGTGTTGGGCGGGTGGCCCACGCTGCCTGCTCGCAGGCGCTCCAGGAGGGCGGGCGCGGAGCGGAGCGCGGCGGAGAGCTCGGAGCACCCCGGAGCGGGCCGCTTTGTTTGTTCCCCGCGGGTTTCTATTCATCCGTCCATCCGTCCGCCCGACGACGGGCAGAGAGAATAGAAGAGTACACTCTGTGTAGGACTGCAGTCGTCGAGCTTACGTAAAAGGTTTTGACCGACGAGCCTGCAGCAGGGCGGGGTGTGGCGGCCTGGCCTGGCGGGGCGGGGCGGGGGGCCGAGCTTAGTTAGCTATGCAACGGCCGCGTGCCACGGGTACTGAGGAGCGACCCTCCCCTCCCCTCCTCTGGCATCCACTCCTCACCCTCCAGCCGTGCGATTCAGGAGATCGTTCAACACTGCCCTATGAGTGCAACAAGGACGGAGCTATGCGGGACGTACAGGAGAGCCTCGCTTGAACGATCTCCTGAATCGCACGGCAGGCCGGCCCCATCTGCGCTCGGACTGGCAGAGAACTCCGCTGAATCTGGCCCTGTTTGTTGTCACTTGTTGTGTTGGGCTTGTTATTGTGGGTGTCCACTCTGCCGCACATCGTTCGGGTTGTTGATGCCCCCATGAGAAACACTCCTCCTCTCTCCTCCTCCTCCTCCTCCTCCAGCTGCCCCTGACCGTCGTCCCTGTTATTGTTTCTGCGGTCGCACCGGGGGCGACGTAACCGACACCGTTGCCCCCCTCCCCCCCTCCCCCCTTGCAGCAGGGGTTCGACCCGCAGGGGGTGACCGCAGGCCCGCGGCCCCCGAGGCCCCCCGAGGCCGTACCCCGACATGTCGACCGCAGCCGTGCCAACTGCAGCGCGGAGGACCGATTTGAGGGCACACGGGCACACGGACGCGGGCCAAGAGGAACTGAAGTTCCGTCACGCTCCTAGCTAAAGATAAAGCCTGGTTTTAGGAGGCTGAACCGGCTGAACCATTCGCGGGCAGGCAGCCCTACCGTCAGCACCCCGCGGCCGATAGGTCCACGCCGACGAGCGCAGTCTTCAGGATGCTGGGGCTGGTCGCCGCGACGATGATCACGGCGCTGCTGCCGCTGGCCCGTGCCGGCTGCCCGTGCCCGACCCCGCACCCGGCCGCCGAGGTGTGCGGCTTGGACCAGCGCACCTACCGCAGCGAGTGCGGCCTGCGCTGAACCGCCCCGGTCAGTACACTCCCGGGCCGCTACTACTACCCCCGGGTGACACAGGGCATTTTTCATAATTTCCGGTACACAAAGAAATTTGTTAACAACAATAAGAGAAACAATTACTTTTTTTAATCACAATTTGTAATCAGTGACCCCGGATAAAATAACCTTGACACAAGACTCAATCGAAAGGTCATACCATATTGCAAGAGCAAAAGTGAAAAGTGAAATATTCTTCAAATAGAGAAAAAATGCACCATGTTGTAAAACTATGAAGATTTTCAAACATTTCCGACACAACAAAAATCGTCTCTGTCAGTCAACAAACAGTTTCAAAAGAAATTCCTACGTTTTACGATTTTAAACTTATCAATTTTACCTGAGCAAATTAACTGATGCTGGACGGTACCAGCAGGACTCGACAGGACTGCACTGCACTAGGGGATTTTCATTTTCCCAAAACGTAAGTATGGTTAATTTTCTTATGGACTTTTTAATAAGATATCATCGTTTTTGGACAGTTCCCAAGACTGCTTCTACCAGCTACCAGTCAGGGAAAGTCCCCCCCTCTCCCCTCCTATAGCGCAGAACGTATGGGCCGTGCGGACGTATCATACGCAGAGTTTGGACAAACCACGCTCCGCGGGGCCACCACTTCGCTCCCCCTTCTCGCCATATTGACTGTTGTAGCCTCTGGTTGTAGCTAATTGAGAGGGGCGAAAAATTGAGGGGTACCTGGTCGAGGGAACTGTCTATTTCCTAGCCCTCTGCTGGACTAATCTTTTTTTTCGAGGCAACCTAGTATAGGGCGAATCTTTTAGCTCCCGTACGTCGTGATGATTGGCAAGGTGAGCCAGTATTCTGAGCTAAGGTCAAATTAGCAATAGTTTTTGCTCATTTAGCAAATTCAGTATTTTTTCCGTTCAGATGCAGTGATTGGGCGGACCGATCTCCAGCAATACGTGCAAGCAGGTGTTGTTCGTGCGTGACACACCCACCTCGCACAACGGCGAGTACTTGCACGCGTCTCACGGTGCATCTGAGTGACTGCAAGAAAAGGCGGATAATCACTCGAAAGTTGACTAGAGTATGACGGTCGGTGCCGAAACTTGGGCCGGTCCCGTAAAGGAAACGCACTCGCGTGCCAAACGGTCTTATGTAAGTGTGTACGACTGTGCAAGAGTGTGTGCGTTTGTAAAGGCCGAGTGTGACTACGTCTGTGACTGAAACTAACTGTGACTGACGGAGAGTCAGGGAATGTGTGAATTGTGTAGAGTGCGCCAGCTGCAGGTGCATCGGCGAGTGACGGACGGAGTGACAGGTGGCGAGGCGAGCAGTGATGGATCACTTGTGGATCACCTGATCACCAGAACGGTCGGCCGCCTCCTCTAAATTGAACAGTCGTGAACGCGTGTTTGAAGACGGATGGCAATTTGGCGGGTAATTTACTTTGTTTGGAGGAGCCGCCGCCGCCGCCGGGGCCTCTTTTTCGCCACTGCCAACGACTCAGCACTAATGTCTTAACATCGCGGAAAAGTAGCAGATTAGTTTGGCATGTGGCGTGCTCATCAGCAGCGCGTGTCAAACGTTTTCAGTGAAACGAAAAATAAAAAGATAAAAAAAAACACGACACTGAAAGTTTTACTGCCTTTAAATTTCAATTTCAAATAAATAATGTTTGCAGACATGTGTGTTGAGCAAATTATTCTAAAAAAATGCATACGTACATGCTATGGTGCGGTACGGTGCACTTCCGCGGAGAGCGCATCTTGCATCGAAATGATAGTAATAACCGATGAACGATTGTGTTAATTACATAAAGCCTTATGAACATGTCGCGATGGGGGTTACATAAGGCAGCCGGGGGGATCGCGCGGTGGTGGCGGGGCGGGCGCGGCCCGCGATCGGCGTTTCCAGAGCGATCGCGGTGGAGCGATCGCGGTGGAGCGATCGCGGT